AAGGGGCATCTTCGGGACTGACGTGGTGGACAAGTCGTTGAAGTTGTGGAATACTATCATCAGCAAGATTCTATACCCTCCGATCCAGAACTTGATCATGGCATGTGAGAGTCCCCAGCAGGGGTGGAAGATCGTCACGAATTTCTACCAAGAGAAGAAGGAGTCTGAGAAGACTAGGCTTGAGCAAGGGTGGTTGGCGTTAGAAATGTGTGAGTCGGAGAACCCACAGGATTACATAGCAAGGTCGGGAGCTCTTCGATTACGTCTTGCCTCAGTAGGAACTATCAAAGACACAACACATGCTTACAAGGACGTTGTGCGCGGCCTTCCCCCATCGTATGCCGTGCAAAAAGGAATATTGCTAGCAAGCGATGTCGTGACTTTGCATGCCCTTGAGACTGTGGTGAGGGACGCCCACATGGAGATGGAGCGCGAGAGGAGCAAGGAGCAGAGGCGAGAGGCGGAGCTCGCCCTCGTCGCGTCCGGTGCGAGCCGGAGCGGCGGGGGCAATGGGGGGGCATCCGGGGGACAAGGAGTAGTCGACGGTCAAGACCGTGAAATCCGTGATGGCGAGAGAAACCGTGACGTGTTCGTCGAAGATCCCACCGGTTTTTGCCGCTACCACCAGTCCGAACTACACACGAACGGGCAATGCCGTTACCAGCAGCATCTGCGGCGGACTCGCACGAGAGCAGCCGCCGAGGATCGCCACGGAGGTGGCGGCGGAGGCCGTGGCGGCGGCTGGAGCCAGCGAGGAGGAATACCGCCGTCGGGAGCCGGCCGGGGTGGCGGGCGTTGGGTGAGAGTTGAAGGGCAGCAGCACCACACCGGTCTTGGTGGCGGTGGCTGGAGCCAAGCCTCACCCCCCCCGCGACCTCTTCGTGGACGTGGACCTGGTGGTCGTCTGGGGCGGCACCCGGGGGGTCGAGGGCCCTCGGGACGCCACAGCAGCGACGGGCGTGCCGAGAGAGAGCGGGCAGGGAGAGGCCCGGGGCACGCGCGTTCTGGCCACGGAAGAGAGCAGGCGTACGTTGTGTACTACGCCCACGATGATGGTGGCTACTACGAAGACTATGGCGACTACGACGACGGATACTGCTACGACGATGACTACCACGACGCCGGGTACGCCCACTACGCCGGCGGTGGAGACAGCTACAGCTACCCCTCAGGGTACGAAGACAGCCGTTCATCTGACGGCGGCATCCACTACGTCTACTACCCTCCCGCCGGCGAAGATTCGTCATCCGAGCAGCAACGTCAGCCCCCCCCCGCGAGCAGCAGCAGCAGCGCTTCCTCCTCGTCCTCTACTCATTCTCCTGGCGCGCCTCCATCTTCGGGCTACCTCCACCTCTGCACGGCACAATCGGTGCCCCTAGGCAAGTCTCACCCTGACGATTTTTTCAGTAGGATAGGAGTGACGATAGGAGTAGAGTCTGCTGCGTCTGCTTCGTCTTTGCTAAGTGTGAAATCTAGAGAGGGGCCGCCTGGTAGCGAGAGATGGGTAGCTGATTCTGGAGCAAGCAACAGCTTCACCAACAGCGACTTGCACATGTACGACTTGCAGGAGATCCCCTCGAATAGGCAGTATGTCATTGTAGGAGATGGTCGTCTGCTGAAGGTGAAAGCAATNTGCACATGTACGACTTGCAGGAGATCCCCTCGAATAGGCAGTATGTCATTGTAGGAGATGGTCGTCTGCTGAAGGTGAAAGCAATCGGTAGCATCAATCTCAGCTTTTTCCAGGAAGGTGAAAACAGTGTGCCAACGACGATGTATGTGAAGCTGACTGACGTGTCTGTGG